TTTTTTTTTATGGTAGAATCGTGTGTACCACTTTCAAACCCTTACATATTTTAAGAATAGCTATAAGAAAATATTAAGATTTAACTAATTACTTTGCTCCTTTCCGTTAACAACCACAAGTTCTGTCTTGATAGCCAAAAAAGTGTGGGTTTTTTTCAGTCATGATTAAATCAGTTTTGCTAGTGCTAACGCACAATTGCTTTGTCCTAACTAGAGTTTTAAAGGTGTTAATTAGATTGAGGTAGGTAATTCAATCTAAGATCACACATTTAAATCCAGTGTAGACCAGGCCTCTAAGTACATTTAGCTTTTTAATGGCTATTCCTGGTATCTATAGGTCTATACCCCTAGTGAAACTTCCTGTCATTTCTAGAAAACTGATCTGAGAGCCACATGCAGCTCTACCCTTTTCATCAGTAAATGCAGAAACAATGCAACTATTTTCCAACTATGTTTCATGATTTGAAAGAATTAATTATTTTAAAATGTGTAAGTGGGCATGCACACACTTCTTGAAACAGCTAGGGTAACAGAGCTGACCACCTTTCTAAGAGGATGCACTCAGCCCCACCTCTCTCCCAGGTGATGAGCCAGGTGACCAGGTATCACATGATAGCCCCAAAGCACGTTTTTCCTATAAGATGGAGCCTGTTTTGTTTAGTATGATAATGCTAGGGGCCAGGAAAAACTTGCCTAGCTGTCCTTGAAAGATGAAGCTGAAGAGGAGTGAAATCTAAAATGGCTCTAAAGAAAAAAGCTCTCTCTACCAGGTACAGGGAAAGGCCAGTCTGAGGTGAAAAAGACTTTAAGAGAGAGTCAGTATGCTGGGGAGGCTACAACATGAATTATTAAGTCTACATTACTGTTACTTTGTGTTAATAAACCAAGACAGCCCTCTCTCAAGAAGAGAATATGAAAATACTTCAGTTTAACAAGCTGTGCCTGGTGGACTGCAGAAGGGGGGAAAAGAGGTGTCAGCAGGCTCCAACGCTAGATGAGGTAAGGCCCCACTGTGCAATATGCAAAAAAAAAAAAAAAAAAAGTGGTGCTTAGTACCAGTATCTGCCATTCACCATTTGGAGACTGCCTAAGGACTTATCTGTACAAGCTTTTAAGAGTGTGATGTTGAGCTAAGCTTGTACTATTAACTTTTGCCAGCTTAGTTATGTCTCTTTGGAGTGAGTATAGGGACACGCGTTCCTCTACCAACTGATCTAGTGATATAAATATAGGCGAACCCCTTCCTGTGCAGAAACTGGCAACAGAATTCCTTTTGTGCCTCTTCCCTGGGGAGTCTGACAGTACTGCTATGCTGATATAGCATACCAGCAAAGCCTCTAGGATAAGCAAACTTTAGACTGGGTTAACTACTTTACTCTGACTAGTAAGTCTTAAAATATGGGTCAAATCATGGTAATTTAAGAACATGCTAAACTTGTTCAGCTACAACTCTTAATGTGATCAGTACAACTTGGAACAAAGAACAATTACTCTGATTTGACTTGAGGTTTACAAGATGTCAATTTGAGTTAACTATCTCTAAAGCACAGTCCAAAACAAGGCTAAACTTGCCTCTCTCGAATTGTTCTATGTCCCCAGCTACTGAGGAGATATGCCACACTCCCAAAGCACATGCTGTGGAGACCTAACTATTAAGACAGGGCAAACAGTTTTGGAATGAATACACCCTTACACTCCTTATGCCATGGCTTTGGGGACAAAATGGATAATTAGACGATAAAATGTATGTTGGAATACTGAATCAAATGAGAGGTACTAATTCACAGGGATTTTTTTTTCATTTTGGGGGACTTCTGAAGCCTACTTACAAGTGTACTGAACAATTGTTATGCAGGAACTCTCCTCCCCCCCCACCTCACAAGAAGCTTATTCTTAAATTACATTTATGAAATGTAAATGTTGTGAATTTAAAACTGTAGCAAAGTCCAAAACAGACCTGTGAATGATCTTGTACCACTACTTAATTGCCTACATTAGACATGATTATGGTAACATCTGGCACTGTTCCACAGTTCATTCTGCACTCTAACAGGCTTCGACTAAGGCATAACTTCCTGTTTGAGAAAGTTGGTATCCAATTGATGTGAAGCTGAGAGAGAGACTGACAGACTTCCTTTAGGCTATACAGCTTTGCTTGATTTCTTATCATTTCCATAGAAAGTGTAAGTTAGGACTCTGATATTTTTCTCTGGTAGGCCAAACATTCATATATAATACTTATTTTAAATACTGTTCAACTACCTACTCTAGTGATTCTCAACCAGGTATGTAAAGGCATATGGAAGTAAGTGACCATCCTTGCTCTTCCCCTTCTTTTGGGCAGAGGCAGAAGGATGAGAAATAATCTAGCAGGGTTGTACAGATTAGTGCTGAGATGTTGGGTGGCTCTGCACATGCTAACTTCCAAATGGTACTACCCTGGCTGAGATTGCAGGCAGCCTAACTACCACTACAGAGAGGCAGAGAGAATCAGCCCTGCACAAATGCAAAGAGGCTGTGAAAATCTGAGGGATAAGAAGACAGGGTCATAAGATCAAAAATGGTGAACTACTGTTCTATGGCACTTAGTAGGCTGGATTCTTAAGTCTAGTGCAACAGGTAGGCTATATATTACTATATATTGCCTTCAGTATTATTTTTAGCCAAGTGCTTAAGCTTAATATTGTTCACCAACAGATACACTGCTGCTTACCACAGGTTTAGTCATAGATCTTGGTATTTTACAAAGGAGGCTGAATCAATTACTGGTGAGGAGACTGTTAGCAAGAAAGTGACTTGCCCTAGTCATCCTGTGGGTTTTAGGCCGACTGGGAATACAGTTTTGGTGTCTTGCATCCTAACTTACTGTTTTAAAAATAGTCCTTGCCCCCTAATTGCATCTGTTCACATACAGAAGATAAGAAAGGAGAGGTGTGTGGGGTTGTTTTTGTTTTGTTGTTTTTGGGTGGGGGGGGGGGGTTGTTTGTTTAAGACTCTTTGGATCAAACTAACTGTTTAGTAACACTAACTTGGAAAACAATATTTCAACAGAAATATTCCATCTCTTCAAGTGATCACCGTATAGGATTTTGCTCTTAATCTTTCCACTATTAAAACTTTCTACCTGCAAATATAAAATGTATTAGTTTGTTTTAAAACTGTAAATAATGGTATCTGAAACTTAACACTCAATAGATTTACTGATTAGCTTGATCCATTTGAGTTCTACTTTGCATAAGAGTACTACATGCAGACGCATTAGTCTCTGCAATAGGAACTGCACTTTAGTGTAATAACATACAATATTTAAAATGCTTTGCAAGGTTAGACCTCCCAAAGATGAGATGAACTAGAATGTGTAGAGAGCTTGTCCGTCCTCCACTGCATAAGAGCAACAAGTCTCTTCCATCCTAAATTGTAATTTGCAATGAGATACTTGTGCCACTCTAACATAGAAGAAGAAAAGTAAACTCCAAATGTTGCTTCTTCAGAAGATGCATCTGCAAGTGCCAGCTGCTACCGAGTGAAGCAAGAACTTGGCTCACACTTAGTCCTTTACTTCCTAGGTGGATAACAGGTCGTACTGATTGCCCTACCTCCTTAATACTAATGAATCAGAAGGAGTAGAGTAAAATGCTGGGGGGGAGGGGGAGGAGTGGGAGGAAAAGAAGGGGAAAATGGGAATATGGAACTCAGAGGAGACAGCTTTGGGATAACTTTTCATAAAGTACAAGTTAAGGTCCTATTTGTATTGACTCTTGTACTTGGGGCCTGACAGGGAGCAAAATGTAAAAACAATAAACATGCAGGCAGTAGGTGGTTAGGGACAGGCCAAAGAATGAGCAGACTGAGGGCTAGGGAACAGCTCAAATCCCATGAAGCAGTAAAGTTGAGTTTAGATTATAATACTAGTTTGTTTGTAATCGCTAATATTTTAATACACTGCTAGAAGACAAACTCTGATTTCCACATGCCCCTTCCTCCCCCCCCCCCCTCCCCCCCCCCCCCCCCCCCAAAAAAAAAAAAAAAAGGGTAAGTAACCATACCTAACATCCCTTTTAAGTGCCAGGAAACAAGCTCAAATCTGTTTGCCATTACTAGACATAATTGGTGCTACCAAAAAGCACTGCCCTACTAATGGGATAGCTTTGGGGCAGAGATTTTTGTTTTCCTCACCATATGGAAACTGAGACCAAGATACCTTGGGTTTAGAACACCAGCCAAAATGGGGCAAATAGTGCACTTCTATTAAATCACTAGATGGGTCCTAAAGTGTGCCACAACCAATTTCTAGCTAGATGACAGGTCACTTATATGGCTGAGGATAAGTAAAAACCAAAGTAACCAGTTATCTGCTGCTCTGCACCACAAACAGACCGCTCTACAAACTGGCTATTCCTGAAAACCTCAGACAATCCAAAGGCACTGTTCAGAAAATACTCAAGTCTATATAAGTGTGTATGACATCACTTTAAAAAAAAAATATAAGTATGTTATGTGACAAAAAAGTTCTAGGTAGAGACAAAATTCAATCATCCTTAATTGGGATTCTCCTTTTTCTTCCTCTTAACTTGAAGAGCTATTTGAATAAGAGTTTAATGCTCTTTCAAGGTAACTAATTACAACAGCTAGTGCTCAAACCCTTTTTGTTTCATCTTTTGCTGTTACTCCACCTGTACATGGTTGGTTTGTTTTTCCTCGTTACAAAGGCATGTTGTGGTGGTCTTCCCCTGCACTGTGCACCCCCTCCCAACAGCTTCATGTAAAAATACTTGTTTTACTCCTACAAGTCAGAGTAGCAGGATAATCTCCAATTTTAATATTTGCTTGTTTTCACTAAACAATAGATCAAGCAAAGACAAACACCTATGGACATCATTTAAAAAAAAAAACCTACCATGGAGGGGGGAATATATAATGAAAGATGCTGCAAGGCTGAAGAGTATATTTGAATTAGCATTATTAAAAAGGGAACTGAGAACATTAGTCAGCTTGCCTACCTGCCAATAAGCAATAGTTTCTCTTGTCATGTCATTTTGGAGAATATGGGGGTTGGAGGTCCCTCCCAGCCCCACTTCTCTATGAACAGAAGAAGACCTCTTTCATAGCGACGCTGCTTCTCCCCTTAGGCTGAGCGTAGGTTTCAAGATGGAAAGTAGTCATCACTTTGCACGTGCATTTTTAAGATTAAAAAATAAATTACAACGCTACTTTCTGAATCCCCTTAACTTAAACAAAAAACAAAAAAAAAGTCTAATAATTTGATGCTAAGCCTCACAACACTGCTGTAGGGTAGAGGGGGAAATAACTACAAAGTGAAATGTAGTCGTTTTTCGGCCCCTATCCTGAGGCCGGTGGGAAAAGGATTAAGTTTCAACCACAATACCACACTATATATTTTGAGGCGGGTGAAATAAGTGAAGAATGACTTATGTAATCTGCATGAATTTGGCCCGGACTGGGGAGCTGCCTTGCAAGGAGCGTTTACGGCATCTCGAGTATCTACAGGTAGGCAAGACACGGAGGTCGGGCGTGCTCTCGGCGTTTCTAACCGTCCAACTTGAAAGCACAATTGTAACTGGGGGGGGGGGTCGATGATCTTTGGGGAAAAGATGCCGGTTTTACAGACGTAAACACAGCAGCATGCAGCAGGGTGCCCAGACCACAAGAATAAAACACAGGCTGCAGTAAGTGTCCCCCCCCC